AAATTTGAGACGCGGCGGGACGCGGTGTATCACGTACGGCGACCGGCACAGCGACTCAGTTCCAACATTTGACCTGAATACCTTTGGTATAACCAAAGTTTTGTGACAGTATGACTGACAAGTTTTGTCGTTGTTCTGGGGTAAGTTTGATGGTGTAAGATCGGATTTTCGCATCGTTTTTGTGACACGTAAATGATATGCCTTGTCTCAACTCCGGCCGAAAGACTTTGCACGCCGTCGCTCTAATACAGCGGTTGGTGTACACTCGGCACAAATCTGTAGCTTTCGAAATTACCTTCATCTCCTGTAATTTATTTACCCATAGTGGAGAATTACAATACCATATATCGTCGTCGAATCCTGCGTTGTCCCGTGTTTTTTGAAACAGATGGCAATTACCCGAGTGCACTGCAATTTTGTCAGCTGCCGCTACCGGACACTGGTTGTTATTGATGGCATACATTTTTGCCTGTGACTCATAGTTTTTTGCATTTTTATGTCATTAAATCCCTCAATTATATCTTGTACTTAAAGATCATGCTTTCGTTGTTGGAAGTTCGCAATCCATCTCAAAGTAACAACACTGAGAACACAGCGTTCACGGTGTTGAGGGACGGTGGTTTAGGTTTGTGTGGCGAACGACAATCACCCAACGACCGACGCTCACAACTTGGATCCCACCATTAACAAAAAGCAATATTATAGTTATATAACTTTTCAGATGTTTTTAATTCAGTATTTTTTTCAATATTCTTCCAAAATTGAACCACTATATTTCCCTAAAAATCAAATAATACCGGTTTTATGTATTTCCGTATTAAACCTGTAGTCAACTCATGTTCCAGGGCCACTTGGTTTAGCCGTGCATTATCAGCCAATATACCATGGATTGCATATGCAAATTTTGTGTTTGGACCAATCAAATCAATGGATTAACACCATCAATATACTGGTATAATATAATGTGGGATATACTAGTCTCGTCTTGAATCACACATGTCCGACCGTGTTTAAACGTGAATATATTGGATATATTGTATGTGGGGCAATTAACTTGAAATTGTAGGTCCGTGGTCAGAAGTCAATGTACCAAATTAGTATATATTTTTTGTCGTAGTTGTATATTACACTGACCTCGTCTCAGAGTATAAGATTTAAATTTTCTTTAAAGCTGCTTGTTCGGCACAACTTAGTTTAAAGCGCTTACCATTCTGAATAGTTTGACCAAAAATCCTACCAAAAAATTACGACTTCGTGGGGTATGCTGATCTAAAAATTACGTAATTATTTTTCTTCACTGCTATAAATCCCGTCATGCATTGTTGTTCGAATGAATTGTAAATGCTTTAAATAAAATACTGATTTTTATAATTTAGTTCATCTTCACCCAATTATGTTAAAACTAAACCACATCCAAATCTACCGAACTTGTGAATAACGTGGCTGTTGAAGACAAGTTTTAGGATAATACAGTTTAACACAAAATGGAAATAGCAACTTTACTGAACCACACAAGAGTTTATCAAAAAAATGGACCGGGTTCAGGTCAATCATCAAATAGGGAATTTATAAACTCAGTTATATCTCAATATTACAAGGTTATGTCGTACAGCCAGGTCGTGTAGGTGGACGATCAACGGCTCTATCTATAGTCTGGAAGCTAAGGCCAAGAATTTGGAGTTTAGCTGCACCCCACGTCAAACATTGTGGAAACAGACTTTTCTTATCCAAATTTTTTTCGAAAATGCTTGTTTCTAGGACGGAAAATACCCTGAAAGTGGTGAATATTGACATGTTGCTATGGCAACGTGGAAATAACATGAACTCATTACAAGATCTATATTTTCAATACATATGAAGATACAGATGTAAAGTTGGTACCAAACTGTAGATCGTAGATTGGCCCGATTATTTATAACATCACATATGCTAATTAGCTAATTTCCATATTCATAAATTACCAACAAATCTGTTTTTTTCAAAGAAAGTTGTATATATTGCGTGATTATTTTTCAGCAAGATATAGTATTCACAACACTATTTTTGCCCAATATTATTCTGAAGGTTACCAATTTATTTTCTATAATCATAAAGTGTTATAACAATAACATCTTTATTTATACAAATTATTTGTATACAGAACTAAGCACAATTGTGCGAAATGAACAAGCTTTAAGGCAAACTATTTGCCATATGTGTCTTGGTTTTACATATGGAGACCAGTAATGACAACTCTACAGAAAGTGTGCATCTGCACTGCAGTAAATTGTACAAATACTTGCTTCAAATTTATATTCTATTACTATTCTATTATTTGGAAAATCATATAAAAACTTCTTAGATTAATACATGTCCAATGTTTTCAAGGTTCAAAGGTTTTAAATCATCATTAGTCATAATCACTGTCAGCATCTGATCCACGCTCAATGTATCTGCCAGTATCTTCAGAGTTTTCACAGTCTGTCGCTGAACATCCACATGCATCTATGCAAAGAAATCCTGTATTCTTGCATGAGAAGCGTCGTGTGTCATAATTCTGGAGCAATGCTCTTGGTGCTGGATCGATCCTGAGTCATCCACAAGATCTTTATTGTGTTTCCTTCTACCACCCAGCCATGTCCATTGGGGCTCGGAGTTTGAAATGAGGAATTCATATGTACCACTGATAGTTTGCTCTGCGAGTGTGTAGAGTCAGGGCATCTTGAATTGGTGGTAATTCATGAGCGTCTGCCCCCTTTGACAACTTTCTCTACCTCACCTCATTCACACTGGTTGCATTTGGTTCATTATAAATGCAACACAGGCCCTTTTCACATTTGGTCAGTAGGTCTGCTGTAATGTCAAGCCTCTCACCCAGATCTGTCATGGCAGACATGAAATCTGCATCTTTCTACATTAACTTGAAGAATGTCTTCTTTCCTTTGCCACGGACACTGCTTGTTGTATCACATCCTGAGAGTGTGTGTATACCAGGAAGTGCCTTGCAGACGTCTTCTCCATGTTTCCTGCATATAGCTTGAATATCAATGTACTTCCATCGTTTCTGAGTAGCCTGTTGATAATAAGTGAAATGCTAATTTCTTTTTGAAAATACACAGCAAAGACAATCACATCAGTGTCATATTTTTCCAGGACAACTGCTCTGAAATCTCCAGTTTCTGCAATTTTCTTGCAGTGCAACAATAGTCTTGTGTCAGCCTATTCAACAAAGCATGTCAGTGAAAGAACAGCATCTTTGAGTATTGAGTCTTCATGTACCTATAATCTGTGGCATTCTCTACCATGACAAACAAACAAAGATGTTTCTTTAATGACCATTCTTCGACTATTCATGCACCAGGAATTCAGGAAGATTCTGTTTGTTCTCACTGTTTGACATAAAATTGTCTCAGTCATTGGGTGCCTTCTGAGATCCACTTGTGATTATATATCGTATCCCTGTCACTTTGCTCCTCCTCTCACGTTCTGTATTCCTAATGAAGACTGGAATGTAGTTATTAATTACAGGATACATTTTTGCAGATTGTAGAGCTATGGCTTTACATGCAGAAGAGAGCACAGATTCAGCCACTTCAGTGAAGGACATCGTGGATGCTCATCCACATGTGTGTTTCCTCAATTATTAATATTACTTATTGTTTATTCAGTTTTATTCTTTCGTGTTCGTTCGTGTTTCAGACTATATTTTACTGTATCTTTTCGTCCTTATTTTATACAATTACAAGCTGTATTAGTGGAGATACAACAATTGAAAGTTGTTACATGTATGAAATTATACCGTGATATATGTGTCGCTATTGTAAAGAAATACAGATTCGAGTTACATAAGCCATTTAGTAATAACTACTATCAGCACGAACCGCAACAGAAATCAGTTGCAAGGTCAAGTTAAAGCTGAAATATCAATATTACTATCCAATCATTGTGTTTCCCTCCTATCTTTAATCTAGAGGTGTGAATCCAATCCAATCACCAATCGGTCTGCCTTGATGATTAAACCTCGCCCGCAACTTCAACTGTTTGTGTAGAGAATGTTTGAAGCTTCTGTTTTGATAGCTTGTCAAAACTTGATTCTTCAGCAGACTCTGATGACTCTGCATTGATCAGTCGACATTTCTCAAACTCTTCACAAATGGATCACCAATCTGTTGAGTAGTCAGTAGAAACTTCTCTGTGTTATTTTCTGCTGCTACCCGTGTTGAAATTCTCTAATTCAGAAAATGGATTCAACATACTCGTAAGGACCTCGACTACCTGTCCCACATCTTTCTCATCTGTATTTATCCGGGAGGGTCCTGCCTCTTTTGGAGCCACTTGCATTCATCTGATATGCCAGCATATCTGATGTTTTCAGTTATCTGTAAGTGGTCAGCTGTTGATTCAATCCATCTCCCAACGGCATCTGGATTTCTGCTTTTTCCAATAATTCCTCCTGGTATTTTGCTCCTCTTGTTTATTGTTTCCGCAATAGATTTATTCTCTGGAATCTTCGCAAAGGGATTTTTCTTTGAGAGTTGAACGCCAAATTGACCAAGTGTTAGCTGTCTCTTCACTGCGGGGTGGGTATTAGCAAGATTCCTCATGGTACAAAGGTAGTATGCCCCATACCTCGCATAATTGGAGTAATTGAGCACAAAGAAAAAAATGCACCATTTCTCTGAATGCTGCAACATGCAGCTCCAAATTGCCTTCTCTAGCAGCCCGGATGAATGCTAACAATATCTCTACCAACCTTAGAAAGTTGCTCCAGAACAAGAACATGGGTTCTTTTCGTTAGAGCGCCTAAACTCTTCAAACAGTGTAAAGAGCTTCTGGATGTTTTCAGACAGCAGAACCAGCTTGAATGTGTCTTTCTCAAGGCAGTCTCGAATTTCCAGAACTTGATCTTCAATTAGATTGATATCAATGGCAAAACGATGAAACACATCTGGGTTTAGATTGCCTCCAAAAGAAACAACTTCTCCCAAAGCGAAAAATAATATCAATCGCATTGTTGTTAAAATGTGCATACCAGCATTATTTCGAGTACGAGATAAGATTTCCGTAGGATCTTAGCTTCATGACTACACACAAGCCTATGGATCTCAACAAACCCTAGTTATCTATTTCTGATAAGATATATGCTTGTACATGGTTAACTTAATTGCAATGCTATTTAAATAATATGCAAATTAGATAATATGCAAATTAGCTAATTAGCGTATATGTCATAAATAATTGGGCAAATAGTGTTGTGATGACTATATCTTCCTGAAAAAACAACAATCACGCAATATATATAATTTTCTTTGAAAAATCAGCTTTGTTGGTAATTTACGAATATGTAAATTAGCTAATTAGCATATATGATGTCACAAATAATTTGGCCAATCCACGATCTACATTTTGGTACTAACTTTAATTCTATATCTTCATATGTATTGAAAATATAGATCTTTTAATGATTTCATAATATTTTCAGGTTGCCATAGCAACATGTCAATTTTCGCCATTTTTAGGGCATTTTTTTAAAATGTCAGATAATTTTGCATAAGAAAAGTCAGTTTCCACAGTGTTTGCCGTGGGATGCAGCTAAAACCGTTTTTCGAAGGCTTTTGAGAAGTAGCTTCCAAACTACTAGATACAGTTGCACTAACGTCCGTATAACTTGGATCACGGTGAAATAAAAAAATAATATATGTGAATGAATAATGTATTTCAACAAAGATATGTTAAATTACTTGCCTCTGTCTTTGAAAACAAAGGCAATAGCTGCCAGTGCAGCGGCTGTTCCACCAACAACATCGGACCCTGGATTGTCTTCATCTACTTTATATGCAGGCCTATCCATTGTCATGTCTTCAGCGCGTCCCCAATAACCATGATCTCCATTCACTGATCCAACCTGAACAAAACAAAGTGTGTTACGTGGAAGTCTGCATTTGTGTACACAAGGCCGTAAGAACCGTACCGGTCATACCGGCTATGGCCGGACCACTTCTGCACGTCCCCCTAGCAAACGTGGTCCTACGGCCCACGTTATCATACGCCTCGGGCCTACGGCCCTCGATGGATGGCCGGACCAACTAATTGTTACTTCCTACGGTCTTGGTACAGTACGCTATTTATCTCACTGTGGTAAAAGTGATTACAGTTGTTTCAAAGAATGAGCACCACACTATATCATCTGCTGCTTAGTCAAGAAGCAGATAGAGTTAGCCCATGCATATTTAGGTAATCTACAACGATTTCGATCTACTGATCGCAGAATTGTATACTATCAAATATAGTGAGAATAAAACCGTGCAACAAGTTTAACATCGCCGTACGCGTGACACGAGATTCCCATGTAAAGACAGTCCATTCATTCGTATCTAATGATAATGAGGTTTTTTTGCCATAACACAGAGGAAATACTTACATGTGCATAAAATTCGTGTTCTTGTGTGTGACATTTTATAAAATAGTCAGCAAACCATCTCAGATTTTCCAGCATGTGATCAACCTCGCCCGCGGCTTCGTAGGCGTCTTCAAACTGAATGAACCCCCATGCTAAGACTGTAGCACTGTACGCCATCGGTAAACCGAGCTTCAAGTGGTCACCAGCTACGGGAAAGGGTTACGGCAATGTAAGGCGACTCAAAATTTGATTACAAAAGAAGTCACTGTGGGTTAACGTTAATTGCTTCAGCTTTGATGTATATTTCATGACGTGTACATTGTGGCGAAACACAAATAATACGTGCCGCCATCTTGAATCCCGTTTAACTCGCGCGTGAACTAAGAACACGATTTCCGCATATCACGCGCTTCGACAGTTTTTAATACAGTTTTTAATAAATCAATAATTTAAACTGCGCTCGCTCACAAGGCATTACTTGGTAGTAATAATACTAGTTATGCTTATCAGTTAAACCATACTCGGGACTGAAATGAAAGTACACCAAATACAAATTTTCTGTAATATTCTTTCATTTAGTTCATTTCCACTTTTGTGGCTAACAAAGTAGTGCATTCACCCTACCGTCATAGTAACCACCGCTCAAGTCTTTCCCGTCAGGTGTCGAGTCGTTGACGGCGCTGTCCCCTCTCCACGGAATGCGGTTGTTATCTGGCAGTACACCGGAACGCTGAGCTTCGTAAAACAACAACGACTTTCTCAGTACCTCGTCGTAGTCATAGTTACATGACGAATTATCGTCCTGGACAATCATACCTTCTTGGCAATAACAATAGTACGATCCCACTGTGTTCGTACAATTCTGTTCGCAGGTAGCGTTACCCGTGGCACACTCATCAATATCTGTGCAAAGCGACATTGGTATTGCCATATTAACGTGAGTACATATTGATTGCATTTATCATGTACACCATGTAATTAAATACTAAAAATTAAAAATACTACTTTCCTGATATATTACCCAAACCACATACATTATTCCTTTCTATTCATGTTCTCCTTACACTGTATGTAAGTCAGTGGTTTTACACTGGTAAAGCGTAGCGACAAAAGGAATACATATATAGTGAATACTGTGAAATGTCGAAAAGTGGTAGTGCCAAATACTATGTAGAATATCGCACAATGGCGAAAAACAAATTGGTTTTCAAAATATTTCGTTTAGTTAACTTAATAATTATTCCCAAATAACATGCTATTACATGGAATCTCTTCAATTATTGTAGCATTGTTCACATGAAAAAAATACATTACGTATTACCTGTGCAATTTACAAGATTCTCAGTCAATTCATAACCACTACGACATGAACACACCCAATTATCATCGATTCGATCACACATATGTTCGCACGGACAAGCTGCAATAAAATAGTGACAATATGCCTTACGTGTAATGCATAGAAAACTATGTTGTATGTATGCAGTAATTGACTCAATGTGAAATGTGTTAACAATAAAAATATGCATTACCCTGAATGAATTATGGAAACCCGTACAAACCCACGAAACTTCAATAACAATTCAATATAAAATGCATGAATGCTGAAAAACAGCATGTAACAACATGTAACGCATTCACCATTATTTCACCCGACATGTCAATTAAACACCCGATCATTCTGAATAAAACACCTGACAAAAGTCACGCTGTAAAACATTGATAATATGTGTCGCTGACGCAGCTCCGTAATAAGTTTCTCTAAAACGGCAACAAGTAATAAGTTTCGTACATTCAGCTTTGTAATAAGTCTCGCTAAAAAGTAGAAACTCGAGTAATTCTCGCTAGCGGCATATTAACAGTCGAACGAAGTATTGGCCTTCAATTTAAATTCGACTCCTGCTGAAAAATGGTATAGCCCATTGGCTCAGGGGTCGGGGTTAAATTTAGGGGCAATTATTCTTGCTAATACTGACTAGCTGGAGTTAACCGAGTTGACATTCTAGCGAATGTTTGTGAGACATATATTACCAGTTGATGATTTAGCGAAACTTATTTCGAAATTGCATCAGCGACACTGATTAAGTAACTTCAATACAAAATCTATATAAATGCATAGAAGCCAAAAACCTGATGTTGGAACACATTGGACGCAATTACCGTGATCAATGATTCCGTAACCTTTAAATACATCAGAAAATGCGATACATTTTTCCCTGACGAAAAACAAAACTAAAACACCAGCAAAAGCCGACACTATAAACAATTGGTAAAAGGTGTCGCTGGCGCAGCTTCGTAATATGTTTCGCTAAATAATAGTAGTAATAAGTGAACGTTGACATATCGAAGAAAATAACTTTAATGTATCACACTTGCCTATGTTTCGGACGTTGTTAGATTATCAACCTGAGGTTTAAGGCACCCATTAATTTGATATGGAACAACATTCTGAAAGTTCTTCGATTTAACTTGAACTTATAGGGGAAGTCAAGCCAAACAACATAATGCTCCCTTAAGAAATAAAGACCTCCAAAAATGTAGGTGAATGGAGTTTACAGTTTTTTTTATATCACTTCTCATTCTCTAGATATTAAACTTTTCATCAGTATTATGTAGCTCGCCATCTTGATTATCCAGCAAACGATTGTGGGTAAATTGTGACTTTATATCCACTGCTGTGAACAATTGAGAAAATGTGTTCATCTATGACGTTAGAATTACTGATGCATTTTTTTTAATATTCAGTTTGCATATTACTCATGTATATAATTTTAGTAATTGAAATTAGAATGTAAAGATGTCATTATTTTAGGTAGAATGACACTTTTTTGTCCTCTTTTTGTGGTCAACAGGTTATATATCACCCATAAAATCACAAATAAAAGTTTGTAGAAAAACACAAAAATTACAATTTTTAGTTCTGTTGTCATTACAACTACTATTTTTTATGCATGTTTGGCACCGGTACATGCATGCCACCGAGTTCTAAACTGACAGCCAATTTGAAGTTCTACTTTTGAAGTTATAGATGAAAGCATTTTCTCAATTACTGACAACAGAGGATATGCTGTCATACTTTACCCATAATCCTTTGTTGGAGAATCAAAATGGTCGTCTACATAAATCAATTAAAAGTTAAATATGAAAAGTGATATGGAAAAGCTATAAATTACATGTTCTTCCGAGTTCTTGCTACTGGGAGTATTGTGTTCTTGGACTTTTCCTTTAATAACGTAGGATGTTTGAAATCTAACAGGTATTTATGATTTTATCATTACTTTTTTGTGTTCGAAATATATTTTGCCGAATGCGAGGCACTACTCATTTGGGATTTGAGGTCTGACCACAATATTGATCTTTAAAATTTATTTTCCGACACATAGCTAGTTTCTAGTTAGTTTCTGAATATCACATATTTGTGCACACAAGTGCATTGTCAAGCCACTATCCTGTTCATTATGCATGTATTCCCAAAATGCATTGCAAGAAATACATATATTGGCGTATTCAGAACGCATGGATTGATGTGAAAATTCACACAATGACAACACATGGCATATGGACATTTCAGCATTCCAATATAAATCACGTCACCAACATCAATTATTTAAGTCTGGTGCCCAGTTCACATTAGCCCCAATAAGTGTATCATGTTTTGAAAGATTCCATATGAGAGTTTTTTTAAACAAGCTAACAAATTACAGCAGAAAATGTAAAAAAATAGTTTTCGACCTACATGCATGCACAGAATGAGAGGCAGACTATATCACTTACTGGCGAATGTTGTTAGGTTCAATTCGTCTGCCGTTACAGATCTGGTAACGCCCTTAGTAGTTGCGTATAAGTCAGTGCCATTTATCTTATTCCTGTATGGTGTAGGGGTCGACATTTCAGGTGTAGTTATTCGAGAAAAGAAAGTCCAAAATGTAGTTGTTTGTGGCAATATGCTTGTAGAATATGCAGAGGATCTTGCATCTGTCAGCAAACTAGTTCTACCTCTGGTTATACTCATTGGTGTTGTTCGAAGAATCGTAGTTGTTGCTGTGGACGCTTCAGACGGATTAGTACCAGGTTGTGTTTTGGTAGTCGGCCAAGTAGTCATTGTCAATGGAATAGGTGTTGACACTGTATTTGTCTCTGTGTTTGATTGGTTGATGCGGGTAAGTGGTGTTTGAATAGAAGTAGAACTTGCTTGCTCTGTGCTAAGCGCCATTAAACTCTGCTGAGTTGTTTGCAGGGTAGACCACGCTGATTGAAAATTTGTCGTCTTAGGCTTTGTGGTTTCGGTCATGTCAGTTTGTTGTACATGCATACTCGTTGGAGATGTTAGGGGAATGGAGGTACTAAGATGTGTATTCAGTGGAGTGGTTATCCACGTATGTGTTATCTTAGGAGTCGTACTTTTAGCTATATCAGTTTTGTGACCAGGTATCCTGGGAAGAGATGTTTGAGGCATGATAGTACTAGGTCGAGTAGTAAACCATGGACTAGTCAACTTGGACATGGTGGTTTCGGGCATGTCAGTGCGGTGAAGAGGTATACTCGGTAAAGTGGTTTGGGACATGATGGTACTAGATTGAGAAACCTGGGGGATGGTACTTTTTGGGTTAGTTCGTTTAGACATTGTAGTTTCTGCCATGCTAGTTTTCTGTATTGATATACTGGGAAGAGATGTTTGAGACATGATAGTACTAGGTTGAGTAGTGAACCACGGACTAGTCAATTTGGGCATTGTGGTTTCGGGCATGTCAGTGCGGTGAAGAGATATACTCGAAAAAGGTGTTTGAGACATGATAGTACTAGGTTGAGTAGTGAACCATGGACTAGTCAACTCTGGCATTGTGGTTTTGGGCATGTCGGTGCGATGAAGAGGTATACTCGAAAAAGGTGTTTGAGGCATATTAGTACTAGGTTGAGTTGACTGCAATGTAGTAAGCCATAGACTAGTCAACTTAGGGATTGTGGTTTCGGACATGTCAGTGCGGTGAAGAGATATACTCGAAAAAGGTGTTTGGGACATGATGGTACTAGACAGAGAAACCTGGGGAATAGTACTTTTTGGGTTAGTTAGTTTAGGAATTGTAGTTTCTGCCATGCTAGATTGTTGTATTGATATACTGGGAAGAGATGTTTGAGACATGATAGTACTAGGTTGAGTAGTAAACCATGGACTAGTCAACGTGGGCATTGTGGTTTCAGGCATATCAGTGCGGTGAAGAGATATACTCGGTAAAAATGTTTGGGACATGATGGTACTAGACTGAGAAACCTGGGGAGTAGTACTACTTGGCTTAGTTAGTTTAGGCATTGTAGTTTCTGCCATGCTAGTTTGCTGTATTGATATACTGGGAAGAGATGTTTGAGGCATGGTAGTACTAGGTTGAGTATTAAACCACGTACTAGTCAACTTGGACATTGTGGTTTCGGGCATGTCAGTGCGGTGAAGAGGTATACTCGGTAAAGATGTTTGAGACATTATGGTACTAGACTGAGAAACCTGGGGAATAGTACTTTTTGGGTTAGTTAGTTTAGGCATTGTAGTTTCTGTCATGCTAGTTTGTTGTATTGATATACTGGGAAGAGATGTTTGAGGCATGGTGGTACTAGGTTGAGTAGTGAACCATGGACTAGTCAACGTGGGCATTGTGGTTTCAGACATATCAGTGCGGTGAAGAGGTTTACTCGATAAATGTGTTTGGGACATGATGATACTAGACTGAGAAACCTGGGGAATAGTGCTTTTTGGGTTAGTTAGTTTAATCCTTGTAGTTTCTGCCATGCTAGTTTGCTGTATTGTTATACTGGGAAGAGATGTTTGAGGCATGGTAGTACTAGGTTGAGTAGTGAACCATGGACTAGTCAACGTGGGCATTGTAGTTTCAGGCATATCAGTGCGGTGAAGAGGTATACTCGGTAAATGTGTTTTGGACATGAAGGTACTAGACTGAGAAACCTGGGGAATAGTACTTTTTGGGTTAGTTTGTTTAGGCATTGTAGTTTTAGTCATGTCAGTATGGTGTATACTTGGAAAAGAAGTTTGAGACATGATGGTACTCGGCTTATAAGTTTGTGGAGTAGTGAGCCAGCTTAAAGACAACATGGTTTTATGCATGTCATTTTGGCGTGCATTGTTTCCCGACTTTGTTGCTGTTGTTATTATGGCACTTGGTTGTTGTGTGTTATATACGAGTGTTGTTGTGTGTGGCTTGTAGGCAGTAAAATTGTTCTCTGAAACCAAATTTGATAAAAGATAAATAATGAGTATTAATACATTTTGTACAGCATTATCAACATTTACATAATTAATTTTTTTTGTCAAGTTGTTTGCACGATAATTAAATATATTAATTGAATATAGTAACACTATCGTTCGGAGGAGAAACTATTTCTAAACTATTGGATTGTTTTAGTTTAAATGCAGTTTTATGACTTACGAACAATTCGTTCGGTAATTATTACTACTTCTAGGTCAATCAATGGTTAATTAATATGGCGTAACTGTATTTCTATTTTTAATTAAGGGTTTATAAAATTCATTTGATAATTATTATGGCCTCCTGAGCTAGTCATAGGCTTTACTTACCTAACAACAATTTCAACTTTGCACGAAATTACATTCTTTTTCTTTTTTATATGCGATTTCCAGACTATAGTAACATTTATATTTAGTAATGTTTGGCTAGAGTGACGATATGGCAAACCACATATACCAAGTCCACACTCTGTTCTTACTGTTCATATAGTAAAGGCTAGGTTAATAATTTGTAAATTTGAACAAATTTGTGTCATGGACAAAAAGCCGTTAATAAAATGCATTTGTTGAGTTTATAATGTCATTATATATACCATAAATAAAATGCTGCATTAAATTCTTGTGTGATAAGAAAGTATTCATTATACTGAGAGTTGTTGGCGATTACTTGTATTGTTGTATGAAGTATATTTTTTAAAATCAATACATTTATCAATAATAACGAATTGTAAATGTTTGCAGCATTATCAGAAAATAAGTTTAGCACATTGTATCTTCCAGAAGATTTTTAGTGAATTTTATAATTTACAATAGATTCAGTTAACCTTCAGGTGTTTTTTTTGGAAATAATTTTGCAATTTCAGTGACTCGGGGGGAATTTCTTGATTGATCGAACATGGTCAAACGGGGAAAAATTGCGTTTGCTGTTTACAAGCTGGGGTAAATGTGATCAGTTAATTGCGTCTAAAACCTCCTGTTTATGAATTTTAAATAATTGATACCAGCTGCAACGTTTAGGTGAATACACGTAACGTTTTCGTTTAAATGTTATGCAATATCGTCTTTGTCTGTTAGTGTTGTATTTTGTACAATGCAGCTTTTTCGCGACCCTGAGTAACTTAACCCTCTCAACAACAGATTTGAACCGTTATGGCTGATAACATCAGGGTTGGGTCTATTCACGGCAGGAAACCACATTGATGTCGCCAATTGGTTTTTCAATCACCAGGCTGGTGTATAACGATGAATACGCAATATGAAGAGTCAATTGCGAATGAAGGGAAATCCCATATATTTGAATTTTATCTAATCGAATTTACATTGGCTCTGTGATTGACCCAAAATACTAACATGAAATAAATCGAGTATAAATGTGCTGAACAAGATGTATATGTATTTATATATCGTGTAATAAACAATTAATAACTTTACATCCTTAATTTTAATTTTAAATCACTTCACTACTGTAATAATGTGTTATAATATCCAAATCATTTAGTATATATTCTAGTCATTACAATCTATTCTCGTTAAATCGTTATTCCCGTTACATTACAAATTCTGCACCATTCAAGTTGCTTATTCGCCAGGTGCGTTAAATTAAAATTTGAGCTAGTAGCATTCGTACACATTTATCTCATTATATTTTTCGTTATTACCTGGAGAAATACATTGACATAGCAGCCATATTTCAAATATGACGGCAGAACACAAAAATAGTATAATCCTTAAGCGCTTTAAAATCTGCTGTCCTTTAGTTCAACCTTTTCAAGACAAAATCATGAATTATATTGCTCGATTTTCAATATACTATCATTTCTGCAAGTTGAATCATGGCTGTGTAATTTGTTATCTCCGAAATATGGTCATTTTCCACATCACTTTTTCAACATTTTTTTTTTATTTTGGATTAATTACCTGGTTTGTTTCCATAATTATGTATAATACTGTAAAATGTTTTGTTTTTTCATTCCCCGCGTAATAACCACGTGTGTTTATATGGGAAAATGAAAGAGGTACGAGTGACCGTATGGATTTGAAATGCATAGAGAATAGTCATGTAACTGACGTTGAATCTCAGACTAGTAATACAACAGACTCGCAACGCGGCGTTTTCTTTTGAAGTAATGCGTGCCACGTTTGTTTAGGTTATCAGTTCTTATCCTACCGAGTAAACGTTGCTGAGCAACAAGATTTTCATTATATTTCACAAAATAACGCGAGATCTATTTATATTACAATCAACTATCGCGATGCATCGCGAGACATAAAGACAGGAAGTGGCATAGACAACAGTAGTTGACAGTGAACTTCGAAAATGGCATTTACGGAACAATTTGGCGAATCTGAGGACGATAATTACGAGTGGGAAGCTATTTTAGGAGAACATTTTGACGAAGATAATGACAATTTTTCTGTAGAACTTTGCAACCCCTGATCGATCTCGTGTTTTTTATTTCCTGAAATTAAGAATAAGAAGAAATATACTGGGCTATTTTTATACAAAACTATGACAGAAGTCAAACAAAATCAGTGAAACTCGAAATAGCAACAATACTGACACACAATAGAAAATTGAAACAGTCACTGAACAACGCGTAGATCGCGTACTATGAAGTCGAACGCGACAAAAATAACACACCTCCAGTTTTACCGTTACCGGATCACGCTGATACGCTGAGAGAATTATAGTAGTATGTACATGTACATGACACTAGCTATCTGATGTTTCGGCATCCCGGAACACGAAAATAAAACGGGTAACACACAAAGAAGTATGATCGTTCAAAACGCAGCGATATGCTCTCTCCGAAAAAATATTGGAAACCTTCCGCAAAATCCGCAACAGCGAGAAATATCGTTTCAAAGTTGCTCATTATATATTCAAAAACTATTTGAGGTAAACACTAACACATTCAGTTACTTGTAACTCCCCTGATTCTTGGTCGATTCTTAAAATTCTTACACAGCTGCAAAGGTCAAAATGTCAAGAACGCATCTCCCGTTTTTTAAAAAAATATCCGGATCCGTTTTACAAAGAAATACGCAATTTCCGAAGAAGCGCGAAGTGTGCAGAATATCCAGTGTTCGGTAAACTTCGACGGTGTCTACGCCAATGCTACAGAGCGTGGCACGCATAGCATATACAATTAAGCCGATTAACACCTTAAACAATAGCCGTTGCGAGTCTGTTGTATTACTAGTCTGAGGTTGAATTAATAAAAAAATACGGCGTTAAATGAAGGTTACCTGATTTTCCATTCAACTAATAACGCAATAACTATAACCCAATTTTGACTGAAGACCTCGAATCTGCTTATATGTGATATTAGGTGGCCTTACAACAGTAGTATCAAGTACAAGCCGTAGGATTCCAAAGATATATTACAAACCATGCTTAGTTCACGCTATACAATATTATTTTAATCAACCAGCAAAATAAATTCAAAAATAGAGTTGCGCTCTTTTCCATTCCAAATAAAATTTAATTAAAATCACTGTCCAACACATAACGATAATTAACGGTGTTACTTTTTTGAGAACGTTGGTAAAATAAGCGTTTGGCAGCCCGACTATTTGAAATATACTTACCTAAACAATGTATCCCATCATTGTCTAGCACATATCCATCTTTACATGAACACGTGTAGTTATTGCCACGGATGTTACATAACTGCTCACAAGGACAGTGTCGAATTGCGTTGATTGTTCCATTAATATTGACTCTTTCATTTTTATCTGAAGGTAAAATATTGAAAGTTTTGTTTCATTTCATGTCTAAAGGTGTACATCAAAACTGTTCTGTATAATATACTCTTAATATAGTACGATTGTTGTAATATATATTGTGAATCTTACCAAATCCTAAACCAAGACCCAAGGCTACGATGGTGACGACACCTGCTATTGCAACACCGGCACTAATAGCTATCTTCTTCGATTTGAATGACTCAAATACAGACATTGATGTCGTCTTCCAGGTATGATATTCTCTTGTATTGTCACCCTGCAGAATAATATATAACTATTTAATACACAACAATATTGTTCTTTTATCTATATCAGGCTACATTGCTACTTTAGTTTTATTGTAATCAAAATCAGTATTACTCTATTTGGGATAACAAGTGTGTAGATAGTATAACTAATAATAACTACAGTGTCGTATATCTTGGAGCATATATGAATTTCACAGTACATAATATTAATTTTGTGCGTATATTGTATTACGATTTATTGTTAAACCACCTGATTATATAATCCTTATATGTATGACATTCATACCAATGCTCCGGCCAGCATATTCATTACAATTAGGGCCATAGCCATATATTCATGTTATGATCGATGCCGTTGGTTCATTATCACGCCATGAACATCAAAGTTATATATTGTAGTAATGTAAATATTGTTGGTTGACTACCAATTAAAAACAAAAAGTCACACAGCCAACATTTTATCAAAAACCTGTTTATTAAAATATTTTTCCATTATTTATTAACACACATGGTAAAACACACAGTGCTCATAAAACAAGTTTCAAATTCGTCATATTAAAGCGAATGGGTTGTCGCGAGCGTGTCCTTGAAACTTGAGTTCCAGGTGGCGTATACAACAGATTGCTTCTTTACATCAAAACACGTGTTCCGTATAGTAGTAATATGGCCAAATATAAAATAAACGTTATTCGTCCATCTTTGATCTGATTGTGAAACACACTGATATGTATGATGTATGTGCCAAATACATAACGTGTGTAGATTCATTACAAATAATGTACGTTTCTAATTAGATTATCAAGACAACACCATGTGTTGGGTTATGTTTTTGAACACTGTTGCCCGAAGCTGTTTAATAATGTGCATGTTTTATATTACAAGGTGTGCACCCTAAGATGAGGCACGTTAGCCACCTGACTTGGCGGCCATTGTGATTTAAAAACAAAACATGCTATAGGGTGTCTGAGTATTATGAAATGTTATCGTAGCATCACAGCTCTACCGATATTACAAATAAAAACATTTGCTGAAGAGTATTTTGTCGTTATATTTGATCGGTTGCACTAGCCAATCACATGGCAATGACTCATATTATTTGAAATTTAAACATACTTCCTGTCAGAATCGTGTATTCTATGTTTTTTGTCATATTACCTCAACCCCTGCATATAGTGTGTGTGTGTGTGCATTGAATCATGGGAAGAAACGGTGTGATAACTGTCATCGAGGTGATTGACAGGTCATACTTGCTTACCACTCTGGAAGGACAATTTGAATCTACCAGGTGTGCTTGTGATTTACATAACAGAGGATGTTTACAATATACTGACTTGCCTAAATGAGGCAGTTGGTAGCAAGACCACATTCTGATTGGCTCATGTGGTGTCCCCGATTCTGGGCCATTTATGTCTATAAATAAGCAAGACTGAGAACAGTTTGGGGCCCATCATTTCAACTGTGTACCATGTTGTTGCTGCTGCGATATATGACACAAGTGATACATCCATCTCTACACCCAGAAACCATGAGTTATCACCAACGCACACTTCTCTGGGCAATCCCCTATTTTAGTGAATTTATTTTTTGTATTTTTCTGTGCTTTGTTTCTTGTAATTATTTGAGTGATATTAAAGCCAGGAGCTTTAACTTGATATTTTGGTGTATGTGTATTTCATTACCATTTCCAGTTCTAACCTATTCTAGCAGTGAAAGTACCCCCTGTCGAGTGTGCGTTCTGTGGGTGCCCCTCTAAATAGCAATAAGCAGATATTACACTGCGACACTTCCGATAACATTATTAATAGACATGATGCCACCTCTGGGACTGGTTTGTGTCTATTGATGATGACCTACATATCAAGATTACAGTTTATTAGTGGTGAACAGTTGCCCATTACTTACACAAGATTAGGTTCGCACGAGGTCAAATACCGTTTAGATGAAACCTGCTGGAGATATGTACTAGTATGTCAAATAATATTAAATCACAGTTACACAGGTATTGTTTATAACCATAGATATATTCTGTCACATACTACTTATACACATTGGAATACAGGTGAAATAATATTTTGTTTGATGACTGAATTGTGTTTATGAAATGGTGGATAAAATGTACAGAGTCAATATTAATATCACATTTTTACACTAAACAGCTTTCTCTCGCAATGCAAATTCGAGTGTGTATGCCTCCATGTCAGTTACAGTAACAATGTATTTATATAAATAAAATATTTCCAATGTATTAATATTAAACAGGTTATAGACCAATTGCAGCATCGCAGAATCTATAAATTATCATTTATTTAACTATGCAGGTGTTGTAGAGAAATCAGTCTAGTTTTCTGCTATCAAATGTAAGATAATTTTAGTAATAAGATTGGCCTGACCCTAAGTCAAGCCGAAACCAAGCTAAGTGTTGTATTTGCTTTGTACAGCGTTTGGTGCGGGTATTTTCATATGAATGACCATGGGAATGCAAAGTTGCATGTGTGGTGCATGTGGCAAATTCATGTGAGTTGTGTGGTGAACATGGCAAGTCAGTACACCATGAGCCGTCGAAGCATCGTAATTAGCTCTGCCTATCAGCAGTTTGTAAGGACATTTCAAGCTCTTCCTATCCTTGCTTATGCTGCAGAGCCAGATTAAAAGAACAGAACAAGTTTGATGGTTTCGGTGGTTCTGTCCTTTACTGAATGGAACAGAGGGGAGTGACAGCATATCAATCTTGGCTTGGTAATTATGGTGACAACTGGTGTATTGTGGTTGTGTGGATGTGCTTGAATATTGGAAACTGTTGGTGGTGAATTGGCACTATTATATCTACCCGGATCGGTTACTGGTGGCACAGGCTGGAAGCCCTATGGACTTTACGTGGATGGTAGCTGAAGTATCCTCAATGCCAATATTTGAGGAGCGTAACAGAACACTGCAGGACTACATCGGGACACCGGTACTGTAAACTTTACCACAGTTTTTGTTTTGCTATAACTCCCTTACCTGAAGATCTTGTATGGCCAACTCTCATTTTTATGCAACAACGTATTAATAGAATCCTTATTTCACATAAATGGATAATAGATTTAGGTCGTTGATTTCTTCATATGTACATTAACGTGATTTATTAGTGTTAAGTTCTTGTACACAAGTTTCATGTTAATTTCTATGTATGATTATATATTTGTGAGGTTTAGAGAATAAAAAATAGCTTAGTTAATTGTATGAACATTGTCATCACCATTCATTGTGTGCTCCCGCATGCGTGATCGGATCTGTGACAGCAGGTTTCTAAGTATTCTGAGAATTATATATTATACCTGGTTAAAATGTGGTGAAGCTATTTTTTGTGTACTTCCTTGCCATGTGCTGCTCTGAACATTTGGTATATGTATGTAATGAATTGGATTGAATGACAAATGAAGTAAAACTTTGGTATAGTACGTGAGGTAGTTTTAAAATGAAACATGGTCACTGAACAAGTCGGACTCGATACATTTGAATAACAGTAATAAACAAGCACGGGGGAAGCATGTCGTGTATTAGCCAACCTCAAGAAGAATTGGTATTTATTTCGAACAAATCAGTGTTTACTTTCTACAGTATTCCTATATAATGGTGTGATCAAAAGTGTCTCCTAATATTGTGAAATATTGTTAATAACAGTAATGCGTCAGTTAGTCATCTCATCTTCGACATGCACCCAGTGATTTCTAACATAAACATGGAACACGAGATTACACTACCTACGGCATCCGTTGCTGTATTGTCGGTAGAGTTCTAGTTAAATGGGTTTTGACGACATTCGTATTGTTGCTTATAGCAACGTTTACAATAGTATTACTATAACACCCCCCCCCCTCCCCACCGAGAGATGATATGCTAAGCACTTGTATATGAACATAAATCCCGCGTTCTCGATGAATATATAATTGTTTTACATTGATGAATTCAGCTCTGTGTTCTAAGTGATAATGACTTATGGCATGGATTGAAACTAGTCCACAATCACGTGTTGAAATTGATCGTGAGAAAATGTTATGAATAAAACAAGTACGTACATTAAGATAGTTTTCTACCTGAGAACAGTTGTTAGGTATCCATAGCCAGTCACGCGTTTATTACCGCGACTAAACGAAATATCAATGCAATGCCCACCTAATGCCTATTTTTAGAATTTGTACATTGGAAATATGAAAGAAGATTAATCTAGGGATGCTATTTGTGAACATATATGCTGGCTGAAAGTATTTCTCTACAAATGCGAATTAACTCATAATAAAAACGGATCATAAAATAATATATACAATCTTTTGGGAAACAAAAATCCATAGTTTATACGTAAGCGGATGTATAGTTTAATATGGTTTACCGTCGAGAAAATAAAATTTTAGAATTCGACAACAATTACTATTAAATTCCAAATTATTTGGTTTTAAAAATAATTGAACATCCCATGAATTCGCATTCCGATACGATCACGTGCTATTTTACCGGGATAGTTTACCGTCGAGTTTCCGATTATAAGATTTTCCGGGGAGTTATTTATTGCCTCGGATCAAAACTACTACTCACTATGTGGCGATGTTGAAAATCAAAAGCGGCCTTTTGCCATGGACTATGGAGCTAATATTGAAAAGTTACGTCATAGCACAAATTGTTTGAATACCGTGTAAGCATGATTTCTCAATTTCTCATGTACCCGCTTGAGTTCGCGTCACTGTGTTAGCAAACAAATGATCAATCCATAACTAGCTGTACCCCCCAGTACAATACAGGTATAACACTAAATAGAAAACTCGATTGTTCTCAATAAAAGAAGTACGTACAAACTAGGTATAAAATATGTTTAGTCGCGTACATGCACCAATAAACAGATATAATTTTCCAGAATTTGTTAATTTATGTTGCGTGAGAATAATTTATGTTGCGTGAAAATTAGAATTGTTACTGGCGAGAGCGTGGTGTGGAAAAACTGCAAAATGGCTGACTGATGCTAAACAAGCCCGCTAGGGGCGCTATACAAGTAAACACATGATACAAAATAACTGGACTCTGGGGCGCCCTGTCAAAGGAATAGCAAATTAAACAAAATTACAGCTAATTGACAGTGTACGCTTTAGACTGTACCTAGCTAATATTAATCTGTTATTATTAATAAATATTGTGTATAAACGTAATTGGCGTGAATAAATTGCGAACGCCGGGTTAGGAAGTATGGAATGCCCGCCGTTTGGCACAACCGACTGTCCGGTGCTGCAATTCACTGGCCTGGTAAGAGTTCTTACCAGATCCGGGTACTTTCATATGCAAATGAATAGTCGCGCAAATGTCTATCATTTTATCGTGGCCAATCGTGAAAAGGGTCAGGGGTCGCTGGCTATTAGGATCGCCCACGACTTACGCGAAGTTTGTTTTGACTGTACGCGATCGCGACACTTTCCACAACAGTTCTTGATATCATGACACAAACAAATCTTGACGAATACATTATAAAAGTGCTGGAACGTTTAGACTACCATGATATTTCTTGCAAAGAATACCAGCGAGACACTATCACAAACTACACAGAGGGGAGAGATGTGTTTCGTCAGATGTCGTGTTGACATTCGTCTTGTCATAAAGAACTCATTTCGAAAGCAGGGATCCCCCACTTTCAGTTGCCATTCTCTTAGAGGTAAATGCCTGCGACCTTTCCAATAACTCTCGCTTAGTTAGTTGAAATTCCTTCCTGAACTCATCCATGTTTTTATGCAGAGTCAACGCACTCAGTCCACATTTTCTGCACGCATACAAACTGGCAAGATGTAGATCGATCATCTCTGCCACAAACAATTCGTATGTCTTAGTTCTGTTGATCCCGCGAAACAGTCTTCTCCGGTTTTCTATATTTTCTATTTGACTGACACAAACAATGCACATTGTTTCCTTGGTTCTAGGCGATTTAATAGTTTTCTTTGCTTTTTTGGTTGGAGTGACTGTATTCACTGTGTTCATAACAACAACCAATGCATTCAGGGGTTCATTTCGAATCAATGTGCATACATTATGTTAATATAATTTATTTCGTGACGTCAGCATTAACTATGAATTATTCATATCAATTAGAAACCTGCAGACAGGGACAGTCTCTCGGGACTAAAATCCCTCGCGTGAAATTGTTCTCGTTTCCCATCAAACGCCTTCAGCGTTCGAATGTCTAGGAAACACAATTACATTAGGCCCGAGGACTGTCGACAGTCTATGTACGCTTGTAATTTACGGCGGCAGTTTACGGTCACGTAATGAACAGTGTTACCAGGTCGGGAAAACTACGAGTTGTGACAGCAACCTTAAAACAGAGATACTAGTATTGTAAAGAGAGATGATTTTATTGGAAAAAAATAGCAACATTGTAAACGTCATGTGTTATTTAAAAACTTAATAAGACAAGCTGACTGTGATTATTAGCTATTATGGTAACAGAACACTACGATTACTTACAAATTTTAATATGAACATTCTATTTGAACGGATATTAACATTTCCAACAAACTTATCCAATAAAACGAGCCATATAGTGAAGAAGCATTCAAATCGTATTCATATTTTTGTGTAGAATCTTAGCTAATATGCCCCGCAAGGAAAACAAAACAATAAAAACTGTGTGAACGGCACCGCTTACACCTAATTATACGTCATAGAACTTTTTCGGCACTAGAGGGCACGAGTTATCAAATATAGACTTTAAACAAGTGACCTTAGCTATGCTTTTACAATTCACTGATGTGTTTAGTGAATAGTTTATATAATTATATTCTCAACTTTTTTAACATACTAGTCTTTTATTGAAATACCTGGCCATAATAAAAGAAAACAATTGCACATAAAAAAAAATCCACTTAATGTAAATGACCTTATTATCACTATGGGAACAGTTTGTTGAATTTATATTCTAAATTGTTTAGAAAATGACAATGGTTACAACATGCAACTGTAAATTAAAGTTACTAAATCTACTAAATATTACTAAATTTCTCTTCATCATTGTAAAAAGACACGCCGCCACTTTACTAGACCACCCAAATCGTTCCAAAAAAACGAACGACTCGTAACAGCGTGTAATACACACATACCTGCGCATGTCCAATTTCTGACGTCACAATGAACAACATTCGAAAGATACCTATGAAATCGCCCCTCCCTGGCCAGAATTTCTGTGGCGGGCATATTTCCAGTAGTATAACGACATGCTGCAGATGACGCTATATTTCTGAACGAAAAACGTGTTGTCTTCAAGTCAGTACCGTATGAAATGAAATGACGTCATATTTTTCTGTGAAATACAAGATGACTGTTAAATATGTGTATTAAAATGTTAAACAGTAATCGTTTTCTTAACACTGAATTATGTAGTTTTCGTTGAAATGAAAAACAATTTACAAAAGAAAGTACTAAAAATGATGATTACAAGAATATAAGCATCTGAAATGCTGTGTTCGTAACCTATTAACACGTGGGCTGCTGCCTGCAAAGTGGGTAGACGTAGGTAGTTGCATGTAGTCCATTTAACGTTTACCGTAGCAGTGATTTGATAGTTAGGTAAGTCAGGGATATTCGCCAATCAACTGCAAATGACGTAGGCCTGTGGTGAATAAAAAATAGCAACAACTTAGTAAGGCATATGGCTTGGAACTGGTAATAATGACTTGTCCTTAGTCCAGGGTTCAATTATACTGAATAAGCCGAGTACGCCACATACTCGGGATTCAAGTACACACTATTATTACATATCTGTCACCGTAACGCCATAAGTAACAGCGTGCTGTAATTTTGCAGTATTGCATTGGGTATTTTCATCCTACCATATAAAGAAACGAGAATTCTAAATATGGAACGATTACGCGCGTAAGCGTCCTATAATAATAAAGACAAACATGGCTACCCCGGGGGGTTGACCGGCCTCTACACAATAAGGTTTATTTATCAAATATAATAGTAATATAATCGCCTTTAACTACCATACCTATCTGTTCTCGTTGTCAAAATACAACACTCTGTAATGCAGAGCTTCATACTAACACAATCGTTAAATCTAGTTATTAGCCCCGTAAGAGGCGCGATTGGAGACTTATACCACGACAGTCCGACGAAAATGTGAAATAAATGCACTCCGCTTCGTCCAGTTGCTGACAGTGGAAGGGTTAATTTGCATAGACATAGAAGATTCAATTCAGGGCATTAACGTGCGCTTCACGTAACGACAAATGTATTCTTCAGTCGTTTATATCTGATAGTCATCTCAAGCAAATACCTCTTATTAGGGGCTGGAGTAGGGGTTGTAGGTACTGACAACCAATACGAAAGCCATATTTTGAACCCTGTTTACTCAACTTTTTCAGAACAACATTTCAAACCTTCACACCTGCCCAAATTCAAAAGACAGAAATGTCTGACACTGTCTGAGTATGTGAATCACCAGTCGACATGTGAATGAATCGAAATTGTGGTAATCACTAATACACATATGGAAAAACTGAGGCGACTAATAATATGCATATGACAAAACCCGATGCTGATTACACATTTACAGACAAGTGTGGAATTACGGAAATAAACACTCGACCAAAACAATGCGTAACTCGAGTATGGTGTTGTTCATAGATGCTGTTCTCTGTGCATACTGAAAGTATGCCATAAAATATGATTTGTCAACACAAAGTGTAGGTTTACATTACTCTCCGCTTAACATGCTTGTGTGGCGTACCACTGGCACCTTCCGTTGTCACAATAAGACACTCACCTGCAATGGCCGACTGAAATCCAGCATTATAATCCAGAGTCACTTCATTTTGGAAATAGTTGTCACGCGTGTCCGAGTAGTCGTCGTTTTCGTCGGGTCCACCAACAAGCGCTCCATACAGAATCTGTGGATTGGGGTCAGTTGAACCATATTCCGGCCAATCACAAGATGCTGGGGGATCCGGACACGAACTGTAATGTACAAGTTAGAGTTATATTACATTACATTTACAATACAATACATTACATTACTTTTAAAAACATAGATAACGGTAGCCAGAAGGTTTTTTTTGCTTCTATATTTTTTCAATGAAAATGTTTCAAAATCTTAATTGATCATTGCATCTCAGTAAAAAGGGATGTTTAGAAAAAAATAACACAAAATAGCACTGCCATGCTTTCCATAACGTTTGTCTTTGGGCGAGTCTTAAATGAAGTGCATAATTGATGATTTATTTTGCCTTTTCACGTGCACTTGAATTACAGCTTTGTTTAAAACTGTCTATGATTAGCAAATGACTAACATATCACTGACAACATACACAAGGCTTTGCTCGAAATTGCATTATTTTGCATGAAAATATTTTATTAACAACATTAATAGGTTTCACAGTATCGTTGGCCAATACCATTCATATATAGCTTTCGTAACAAGAAACAAATCATTTGAGTTCAAGAGCCACTTAATTTTATGTGTTTTTTCTCGACTTTCAATAATGAATGTAACTATCTTACTTGGAGTCCTGGCCAAAACTACTGGGTTAGTGCCACATGATACATATTTACATAGGCGATTCACAAGCCCCTGACAGAGGTGAATATGTGTGGGGTTTTGGAAACACAATGTGTTTTGTGACAGAATAATGACCTAAAACATGTCCTTACTAGTTATGAATTTGTCGGCTAGAAGTTTGAACAATTTCCATGGATTTGGTAACTCATAAATGTTAGCCGGTTATAGTGTTTTCTTGAAAGCGTATATTAACTTTCACACGGTTACAGACAATCTGTCTCGTCATGTTCATGCAAACTTAAGTAAAATGAGAGAGAATTCGTTCAATTTAAAAATGTCACCAATCATCAAAATTCATCATTCTTGTGAATCATTTTGTAGTTACACACCTTGATCGATGATGTGGATATTGTGGTGGATTTATTCCAAAGCCAACCACAAAGCTTCTTCCTGTATCCCCCAGTGCGATGTCAACTTGCTCTTTGGCCCATTCCCTGTACAGATTTCGCTTTGGCCCTTCCTCGGCAAGGGATAATGCGATGAAGGACGTCGAAGCTGTAAACACCAACAACAATGATACATGCAAATAAAACAGAAATGATCATACAATAATATCCGTTCGAAGGACTCACTAAACAGACATCTTTGAATATTATTCTTTATTGACAACATGGTTGTGGAAACAAAACACAAACAAGAAATGTTAATGTGATGAGAGAAAGCAGCGATTGTTATTTGAAAACCCATCGAAGAAAGCGCTAAAACTAACAATGACCTGTGATTAACGCGGGACAGTTCAAAGATAATCGGTTGTACATGTGTTTTTTTCCATATTAAAATGTTCTAAATTACGCAATGAATATTTCCCTCATTCTACCGTATGTGGCGTAATTTAAAGAAACATTCAAGAAGGTACCTCAAATGTATGAGGCACAGGTTTCAAACAAAAGCCCTTTTTCTGCCTAAACTGCTTGTCACAAATTAACACGTTTGACGTGGGTGTTATTCGACTTACTTGAATATCTAAGCTGACCCCACTCATGCCGGAATACCATGCCCTTCGGAGTGTACGGGAGGTCATTCCCCGGCTGCCAGGCAGTGAGAAACTTATCAATGACCAAACCTTTGTATGTACTTGTATCTCCAGTCAACTTCAGTACCAGCAACTGAAAGTGGGTATTTATTTATTTATTTATTTATTTAAAACGACATGGAAAAACAACAAATCAATTAAGGAAATTGAAAAAAAAAATCTCCCATTTCGGGAAAACGATAATTTCTGCTTTGAAGTTAAACGAGACAGTGTCGTTCCCATATCAGTAAAATGTAGAAATGAGATTGAGTTAAAAATAATTTAGTGTAGGACCGATATCGGACGATAATGTATAGCTTGGTTGGTATTATTTTAATCGTCTGCTAGCCGGTTACGCAAAATAATACATTTGAAATTTATATGATACTGACTCTGTATCCAGCAGTGACGTCACCCCATCCAAACGAATACGGTTTGGTTTCTGGTTCGTTATTCAGTATGTCAATTGCTTGCGTTAGATACTTGGATTCACTGGTTGCGTAATAAAGCCAACACGCGGCAAAACATAGGTCGTCCATATAGCTGGTTGACCTAAGGAAAGACATTTATAGTCTACATCGCAAATCATGGCACACTTTGAAGTTGAATTGAATGATTTATAACTTAATGTCCATATATCATGGAGAGAATTAAACATTTCCGTTAATTTGCGTGTATTGCTGTACGTGGCGACGGGCATGGCGTACTTACTTATAAAGTTCGGCTGCATCGGCTATACTGTTTGAGTAATATCCTCGGAAGTTGTCGCCAAACTCGTATAACTGTTCTGCATGTGTAACAAGTGTAGCAGCGTAGGATGGGTCTGGAATAAAACACTAAACTGTATTTGCATTGGGCGGGCTCCCGCTTTCGTAGCCACGATCTCGATACGGGCTCGGACTCTAACATATTACGGAAATGCGCTTATTATAAATATATTGTATTCCAAATATACAATAAACCCTCAATATAAGATACCATAAAAGTTAGAAAGTCGTAAACATGTGGAGAAACATATTACTGACCTCTGTCCTTGAAAACTATTGAAATTGCAGCCATGGCAGCGGCGGTAGCACATACAACATCAGTCCCGGGGTTAGTTTCGTTTACTTTGAATGCTGGCCTATCCATGGTCATTTCCTCTGGACGCCCCCAGTAATTATGGTCGTCGTGTTTCAAGCCAATCTAATATAGAAACAAGTTCAGACTTAATAGATGTCCTGGAGCTTATAGTAAACAAACTATAGATATATTATTGGCGGGATAAAATGATTTTCTTCAACCATTAGGTTTAGCCATTTTTCAGCATGATTGCGTAACCACAACATGAACGAAAACGAGTTATTAAACACGAACGCCATATTTATTATTGCTGCACTCTTGGTTACGTGTAGTATTAATTATCTAAATACAGGAAAAACGAACAAGAGGACGTGTTTTTTTATTTGGTTACGTTAAATTATAATACAAGGCGCTTGTTGAAACAATGGAACGGTTACTTAATAATTATTTTTGTTCGAAGTCAACTACTAATAATTAATATAAACATCTATCGTCGTCGATTGTAACACGGTAATGGTTAAATCATAAATATATTACTTCGTTTGTTTGAATGTGAAAATTGAAATGTGAAATAAATTAATTGAAACTGAAAAGTGTGTAACACATACCTGTGCATAGAACTCGTGTTCCTGAGTGTGACATTTTATGAAATAATCTGAGAACCATTTCAGACAGGCCAGCATGTTATCTACTTGACCCGCGGCCTCGTACGCATCCTCGAACTCAACGAAACCCCATGCTAGTACAGATGCGCTATACGCCATTGGTAGACCAAGTTTTAAATGATCCCCAGCTATAGGGTTGAAACATACATAGTACATGAAAATGACGGAATTGGTGTACTGTGGTTACATACATATATACATTTCGATAAAGCGGGAGGGTCGTCACTTGCGCACGCGCGGGAATTGAGTTCCAAGCAATGGTGACAACACACGCTAAAAACGCAAATGACTCATGGGTAGACGCTTGTTTGTAAACAATGACACGCTATGGCTATCTGACGCATGCGCTTTAAATACACGTGTTACTGATACATGAATCACCCATTGTTCTGTCGTAAATAAACGTGTGCACAGTGTTCAAGATTTTAGGGATAAATCGCGAAAAGCTTTAAAAAAAACAAAAAAACAAACATGTAAACCATCTTTGCAAACAAGTCGCCCATTGCAGCATTGAAACAACTTTTAATATAAATGTTTAATATTGTTATGCTTTATTTACACATTATTTTGCTCTTACATTTACACAGCCCGATGACAGATTCGATTTGGCGGTCATTTTGGCAGACAAACCATTTTAGTCGCGTGGTCATATGAGTCGTCACATAACTACACACAGTACGTTATTATACAAAAGGACATTTCGAATATTCCGACAAAAAGATAGCGTCCTCAAACGGCGTATTCAATTATGCTTTCGTTGACGGCTATTTCATTTATGTTACAAATCAAACAACGAAAGAAATTTATTTTATGCCGCCTAAAACATACACAATGCTTGTTTTATTTCATGTTGAAAGACCATAATTCAAGAACATGGGAATTGGTCATGTGACTATCGTATACAAAGCATGTAATCATTCGAGTATATATCAATGCAGTGATAGACACACAGCCGACGTCTACCGAAGCCTGGTTGTACACCTTCCGTATACGCAATATATAAATAAACGTAAATAAGCTACCTGTTTCCTTCACATTTATAAAGTAATATATTGTAACAATGAGATCGTTTTGATTGCTTCTTAAAACTATATCGTTATATTCAAATAGTTTTTAATTTCTGAATAAAATATTATTCCATATCCGTTTGTGTCTAATTATTTTTTTTTCATTACACAAAGTGCAATATTTTGTGATTGATTGCCCTAATAAGGCGGCATAATATTGTCGCATTACGTACCATCGTAGTAGCCACCAGATACGTCTTCTCCGTTGGGCGTGGCGTCGTCAGTAGCCGAGTCGCCTCTCCATTTAATGCGATTGTCTGCCGGTAGTACACCGGAACGCTGAGCTTCGTAAAACAACAACGACAGACGAAGAACTTCGTCGTAGTCGTATGAACATGACAAACCATCATCTTGAAGAACCTTGCCGATTTCCGGGCAGGAACATACGAACGACCCGACATTGTTGGTGCAATCTTGTTCACAACCCCCATTATTTGTGATACATTCGTCGATGTCTGTGTGTAATTACAATGTATATTAAGGTAATCAAGGCAAAGGTACTAACAACTCAAATGAAGTCGCAAAAGCCACTGATGTATTCACTATCAGCTTAATGTTAAATTTCTATCTTTATAAAGTCGAGTTAAGTTGAAACTGACCGATTATTAATCACAAAAATATAAAACCAAGTTTTCTATTTCATGTTAAGACGTACAAACCTTGACAACTGTCCCCTGCGTCCATTTCATATCCATCGCGGCATGAACATAACCATTCACCTCCACCGTCTTTCTCACACACTTGTTCACATGGACACGCTGTATTGGTGTCACGTGGGTAATTTAAGAATATTGCAAAGAGTGTTAAATTATCAATGATCGTAATTGTTGAGGTGTATTGTTGTTCAATTCGTTGCAATAAATTAGAATAAGTACGTAACCGCATTGATGTGAATCATCAAACAAACAGGCGATAATCTATGATTACTAAAATAATATTATAATGGGTATAACCATCGGTTACCTTCACACGTTCTTCCATCATCAGCTAAAGCAAATCCGTCTCTACATTCGCAGGTGTAACTAGAAACAGTGCCCACACACAATTGCTCACACGTGCATACTGCCAAAAAAATATAAGAAACAGATTACTGCGAAAATCAGTGCAGTTCGTCAATTGGATAATGACAGCGTTTGTATTTTTAATTATTGGATCAAGTAGTGTCATAGCAGACACACAATTTAACCTTTGGCATCAGTGTGCTAATTAAACTTATGTCACCGTGTCTTTTACGCTATTGGCACCGATAGTCAACAAATACTAATCATTTACGCTGTTTCAAGCGAAGTGTCTCGTAAAATAGTTTCAATAATTTTTACATTATCAATACCAACCTGTACAACCAATCCCATTATCGTTCAGAATAAAGCCATCATTACACGAACAACTATAACCACTGACAGACGGCTCACACACTTGTTCACAAGAACACAAAGAGGAAGTTGCTACATCTGATGAAAACAAAAATATCATTTTCATTTTGTCACGATTTAAAATATTACAGACGAAGTAGCATCATTCGATCTAAAAATGTGGTTTATCCATTATATTAATCCAGGATTTGAATTGACAAGACTCAAATATTTCGTGCAATCGGCACTACATCTAAAGTTTGACTGAATTAAATGACTTCTAAAATATCCCCAGATAGTACGTGTAACGAAATTGTGGTATCATTTTTTATTAGGGGCCTTTTAAATTAGTGTGCGGCATGTCACCGCAACTGAAATTTGAATTATAATCAAAATTAAAATTAATGCAAATAACTTGGGCAATCCTGTATTTGGAGCTGCCTTATGAGGGCCAACCCCATGAATTAACAATGAAAAAACCTAAAGGTCAATCAAAGGTTAAAGGTCAATGATTGGGTAATTATTCTGATTGTTAAGAAATTAACACGCCCTTTTCTATGTAGATCATTTACACCATGACTTCACCATACATTCCTCTTATCCTAGCAACTTAAATAGTGTAAGTTGCATATGATTTCCTCCAATAAGGAAAAAGATGTTAACATTGAACACGATAGTATAGTTAAACTGTTTGCATTTAAGGTTTAAAAATGACACACTTATCTTAAATGTTATATATACTAGGTATAGATATGTTGTACATGGGATATACTAGGAGCTTTCAAGGGATTTTGATGGAAAAATTCACTTAAAAAAAGCAGAAATGAAACAAAGAACATTTTTTTTGAGATATTACTATTTTTATTGTGAAATGTTGCTATCGTTTGCTTGTTAATGACATACTAAACAAAATATACGATTTACTCACAGCTTGTATTTAAAAAATGGATAATTTGTATGGAATTATGCCAATATATAAGCACTCATAACGTAGTTTTACAATTGTCAATATTATACAATGGACTACATAAAATTACAATAAAATCATAAGAGATTCTGAATATATATATATATATATATATGGAAAAAATAGGATTTTATTATATGTCAGTCTGATCAAAGATTTGAATTATATCAACTACAGCAAACGCTATTTTTAAAGAGTAATCGTTTGTATTCGGATCTAAATTAATCTGCCGCTCTGACTATTGCTAAACAGGCAGCCCTTATACGAAAAAAAAAACTTGTTTGTTGGAAATGTACAAATTTACCTTCACGTACACATTGTAATTAAAACGATTCACTATTGCTAGCGAAAACCTAATTAACTCAAATACTAGTGTGTTTCTTAGTGTTTATTGTTACTTTATCACATTGTTATCGGACACTGCACCCTATAGGCTAGACACGGAGACTTATGACGCATGTCTCTTTCATTGCGTTTCCAAGTATACACGTCAACGTGACATGTACATTCATGTACGTGCCAACATCCCATCTACTTTATCTACATCTACTTTATTCCACCCAATACCAATAATATTGTATTGTGGGTTCATCGGGTATGAAATGCATTACATTCCAAGTATATGTGATCATGCTAATTAAGTGATGGCTTCATATAATATACGGACGTTTACTAAGCGTACAGAGCGTGAATTCTGCGTTGATTGGGTCAGGTAAAGCATACATACATTGTGACTTATAAATGGAAATGCAATTTAATCAGATAGGTGGAACAGATCAACCTAAATTGGAATTTATCACTATGACTATAAAAATAGTACTATGAAGTGGAAGTAGACAAATGCAGATTATTAAGATACTGACATTACATTTGGTGTATGATTGTTCACATTTGGTCTAGATTTGGTCACAGTTGGTTTTGCCCACTTTTGGGTTAGTATTGATGGTTTAACTCCAGCAATGACCAGACATGATTCTTGTATGGTAGCATACGGTATGATACTGGTTATATTTAGCCTAGGATTAATTTCAAACAGACTATAATCACTCTATATGGTGTAGCAGGCAACCTATGTCACGCAATGTAATGAAGTACTGAGGATCCACTAGCTTTACCGGAAAAAACGGTTCTTTCTTTTTGTAGAAATGGCCTTTCATAGCGGTCGCGCCGATCCGTGGTACATCGTGGCCATTTCACAATGTAATCTCATCCTTACAATTAATTAAATTCAAATTTAGTATATTAGTCTTATTGTTGACTCGCTGTTAACATAACTCTGTACTATGGTATTGGTGATATATGAGTTGGGTGCCATAGGATGGTACTTGATGGCCCAGCAACCTAATCAAATAT